GACTTGGCAGTGCTAGGTTAACGGTTGGACTCGATGATCTTAAGGGTCTTTTCCAACCTTAATGATTCTATGATTCTATGATCATGTGCTTCAGACTTAGGCACTCTTAAATCATTCAGTGGCACAAATTTGATCCAGATCAGGCACTGGCATGCAGCTTTATTTCCGGTAAACATGGAGCATGGCATTCAGGCCAGCAGCATGCTTCTGTGTTGGCTTTATGGCAGTCACATGAAGACCAATTATATGTGATCCCAGGATAAAGTTTAACAGTACAGACTAAGGCCATTAAAGTGTTTTGCGCAATTTAATTCTAGCTGTAAATTTACACTCAATAGGTGATTTTTGATGTGGAGCCCTGTGACCGGAGCTGCTGTACATGCCCCCAGGGAGGCTTTCACTATGACTTGTGACACATCAACTCCATGACAGGGATGAAGGCTAAAGGATTTGAGTGGCCACAGTCCCTCAGTGCTCCTTGACAGTCCCCTCCATGTCCCAAGGAAGTTTGTCAAGTTCTCCCATAATTCACTTTGATTGCAGAATCAGAACAAATCCGTTAGAAACAAAGCTATACTTCAGTTCAAAACTATGCTATGCTATGAACCAGCTATGCTTCAAAACTCCCAAGGACACAGGGCAAGCACTGGCACAGTGAGTAGCTTCAGCCTGCCTACATAATGCTAAACAAGCAGATTTTGCTTATCTTTCAATTGTTCTTCAGTAAAGACACCCTATTCAGTCAATCAGTGTCAAGGTGACCAACAGGAGAAAGAAAAACTCTGAAAGGTGCACAACAGGGCTGCTTCATATGCTCAGAACTTGAACATGTCTCCAGTATAACCCGTGTGTACAGCACATTATTGTAATTTCCTATCTGATATTATTTGAAATGGCCTTCAGGAAGAGATATAAAAGAGAGAACAGAGTGTCTGTTCAATTCTTGTAACTCCTCAGTTTTAACACCCTTAAAGAACTCCACCCTATCAGTTCTACAAATATATGGAAAAACAGGATTGCATCCTGTCCCCAGTGGGATAAATGGAAGCAATCCTACAGAACACCCTAGGCTTTGGTCAGCTTCCATTTAATATTTTTTCTCAGATAACTAAATATCTATTTAGATGCATTTTTTATTTATTTCAAGCTTCATCTTACAAGACAGATCTGTGCTTTCTATTGCTCAGTATCATTTTTAGAAATACTAATAATTTGTGCAGTACAGTTTTGTTTTGCAAAATTTTTGCAAATGCAACTTAAAGCAACATCTGCAGATAGGTAATTATTAAAAAATAAGTACATTATTTTGTATGCATTTTTAAATTGAAAAGTTGCCAGTCTTTTGCAATATAATTGTAAAGAATTATAGAAATCCACTTGTTTCTGTCAGTAGTACTGACGTTATAACACGTTGTGGACTATAGTGGTGGAAAGGGAACTCAAAATATTTTCAACACCTTTCTGGCACATAGACTTCAGATTAGTGCCTGGTGTGATAATTCCAATCTAACAATCACTTAAGAAATTTAACTGATGTACAAAACTGCCTTTATGAATTCTGTGCATCAGTTGCAAAAAACTCTAGCTGTGGGTTAGTGTTCCGGGTTATTTTTAATTTTATTTAATTTTAATCTGTCAGCTTTAAACTGACTTCATGACATGGAGAATTGTCACCTGCCTATGTACTTCGTATTAACAGTTTTGTCTTGAAGATTGTCCAGCTGACGGAGAAGTATAGCTATTTGAAAGGAGCCAACAACATAAGACATTATCTGTCTAATGACTAGACGTTATCTGTCTTCCTAACTAAATCTGAGTAAGTCAAGTCTTCTCATTTTCAGTGCTTGTTGCATTATTGGGGTAGCAAAGGATGCTTGTTTTTTACTTCATAGGGCTTAGGTATTTGGTTGTGAAAGAACAACTACTATTAACTGAATGCTCTGACAACTGTATTCCCATACTTTTAATTAAATAAATAAATTATATAGCATCTGGAGCAGGAACACTTATTATGCAAATCTGTATGGATATTCTGATTAAAATGAGAGGGTACATTTTTACTTTGTGTTTCCTGATTCAGTGTTGTTCTGATTTCATTATGCAATACAAAAAAGAAAAAGAAAGGTAAAAAGACAAAATACAGTTTCCATTTGTAAGTTTTATATTGACTGACAAGCAGAACGCATCTCTAGTTTTCCATTATATTTCCAGAAACTGAAGTGTCCTACTATGACCAAGTGTGCATACTTAACTGTGTATTTTTCATTTGTCTCAAAATTCATGTTGGCTTTTTCAGTCTGAAGTGACGTGACCCGACCTACAGTTTGGGACTAACAAAGCAGGTGCTGTCCTCTAACAACAGTCATTTATTTCCATGTTCAGGAAATAAATGCATTAAGTGCTCTTTTCACCCACCACCTTGGTCCAAATTCTACTGTCAGTCACTGGCATAAATTTTTAATTGTCATTATATCACATCACAGAAATAAAATGAGTACAGCACAACTCTAAAGAAATTGTGACAAACAAACCTAAAAAAGACAAAAAGCTCCAACAAAAAAAATTACTCAGCCTGTCTCATTCATGTAATGCTAAAGAAAGCTAAAGAGGGAAAATCTATACTTTGAACAACAATGGTTAAAATAATACCATATTATGATGTCAAATACGATGCAGTCAGAGAAAGGAGCAGCTGCACAGACACAAGCAAGCAATAATTCTAAAGACTAGATAGAGGCTGTGCAAATTTATATACTTAAACTAGTAAAACTGACTTAAAATGTTAGTACCCTTATTTATGACTTAGAGTCTGTGAAATCGTGTAGAACAAAATAAATATCACCTTTGAATCAACAATATTCCCCTCAGTTTACATTTTGTGCCTCTTGAGAGGCCATTCATCTTGAAATACTGAAATCTAATTTGTTATACATTCTACTGAGTTTGATGAACAGAATTTGATTTTCAAGCCTCTGTTCTTAGTAAGAAAAACTTATATGGGTGCACTTTGTCTTAACACAACTGATTAAGGGATTTTTTACCATTAAAATACTATGTTGTATATGACACAACTTTTAACACAACAGTGGTTTTAGAATTTAACCTTAGAGTCATGGTGAAAGGAAGAGTAAAATAAACCCAAAGAAAGAACTATATCCTTTACAGCAGCTCTTACAGAACTGTTCTCTGTGCTGCTAACTTTCCATAGTGATAGGTAATATGCTGTTAGTGCAACAGACTGTACAATTTGACAAATTTCTGTAAATTAAACAAACACTCTAAGAGAAACTCCATTATTTAAAAAAACACCAAAAGACAATTACTATTGTGCTTTCATTAAAATGTTCTGAAAGGGGTCCAGTAAGAATGCAAGTGTCCAATAAAAACAATAATTCATGTTTTTCTTTACTATGTCTGACTAACCCTGCACTTTTCATTATATGGCTAAAAAAACATTAAAATATGTCTCAAAACTGTATATAAAATATGTACTACAACTATTGCTGCCTTTACTTCATTCTTGGGAGAATCTCAGACAGTAAAATCTCATTGCATCAAGCTATTGAGATTTGGTGCGAGGATCTGTGAAACAGAATCAGCAAAGGATACATTAATGTGCTTCCCCCCCTGCAAATTGCCAGAACTCATGACCACTTTGCATTTACTTCTTTTAGGGGACCCTTGCTTTGAAGTGATGTTATATATGTAGCTTATTTTATACATATAAAATATATATGTATATACACATACATATTTCCTCCTTTTTGCACTACATCATGCATGGAAGAGTTAAGGTAGAAATGTAATCCACATTATCTCAGACCATCCTGTATTGAAGAGCAGGCAAAACATTTACATGATTAGAGGATACTAAATTTGGGAGATTTTATTTTTATTTTTCCTCACATCTTTAATTTCTTCAGAACATTCTTAAGTCAAGTAAGTCCTTGAGTGAATTGTCCATCCTCTCTTTGGAAAACATGGTTGGTTAAGAATGAAAAATGCAAGACAAAAAGAATAAAATTGAAGTGGACATCCATACATACTCAAAAATACAATTTTAATTAAGAACCCTCCCTAATTCTCCAAACTCAGAAAAAAATATAGAGCAAAATTCAAATAAAATAGCGAGATATTTGCTCTCTAGTAATTAGGCTTTTTTAAAAGACTATGACAGGTTCTGTCCATAGTGAATAATTTAATCAGTGAACCTGGATCTCTTTTATTAACAGCACTTGGAGAGAAACTGTTGTGTAAAAGTCCATCATGCTCCATGACATACCTTCATATACCCACTCTTAAGCCATATCCTTTTCAACAAAATACTGAATGTACAGCTATTGCTTCTTTCCACAAGCAGGCAATGGTGTGGAGGAGAGTAAAACTTGTAAATGCCCTCTTTGTCGAACTTTACACTTTTATATAGTATACTTTTTGATCCTATAAAACCACACAAAATGTTAGGTGATTCTTGACTGAAGAGTGCAATACTTTGCTTGACAGCAAAGGACAACCTGAAAAAAGGAACTCAGCTGCTGTGTATCAATAATGCAGCATACCGTGACAGTAACAGTTAGCCCATCAATCCTTGTCAAGAACAGAAATTCAGAGTTTATGAAAACAATGTTTGTGATATGAAGGCTAAAGATGATGCACTCTGCAAACAGAAAATACCATCCACAACCACCTGCACGCACTACTCTGTAAAGCACTCTTTGTTGTAAAAGCACATAGACCAGTCAACTACCATTACTATATGCAAATCTATTTGCAGTTCACTAATGTTTGTCAATGAGAAGAAGAAAAAGAATTATTTACTCCAACTTAAAACTATTTACTGTTTAACATTATAGCTCCTGGGATAGGAATACCTGCCCAAAGCTAAGGTACAGTATCCTGAATTAGGCATGTGAGAAGCATTTCAGTCCCTATGCACAAAATCATTAGCCTGAAATGAATACAATTTCCCTCAACTATCTTATAACACCTAGAATTATAACTGTTATGATTTCTGGCAGAACTGTTACTGTAAGAAACATCTGGTTGAGACAATGAAATAATGACAAGGAAAGAAACCTCTTCAAAAAAATTGTGTGGATTCACAAGATTTCAAAACTGGAAGGAAAGAAGTGATAGAAGGAAGATTATTTGGGTGTTTGGGCACATTTTCTTTTATAATTTAAGAATAGAACATATTCCGTGAAATAGAAAGTGTGCATGGAAAAATTCAGCCCTATTTATTCTTTTATATAATGTGCACTAAATATAAATATGAACATTTAGTATGCATTACATATTGACGTAGTGAAATTTCCAGAAGCTGATACTGAGGTAAACATAATGGTACTGTAGGATTCCAAGGAGATGTTGACACCCATTAA